AGCAAATCTGCTTTGCTTTTAAAAAAATGTATCAAAGATACGTGTGGTATTTCCTATTTGGTAAGAATACCCTGGACTTAAAACATTTTGTAAACGTGGACCACCATAAATGTTCTTCTACATGAATAAACTGCATGTTATTAACTCTATGAGTTCGCTGGCTCTATTCTTCTGCTTAAAGAGAAAAAAACAAAATGATGTTCAAGGACTTGATAAAGCCTTATCAAAATGATGAAGTTTTATAACGAAGTGAACTAACACTGCAGTACTGTCCCTATTTGTCAATTTTTAAAGTAAGTTTTAAATTTTAAAAGAAATCTTATTTTAAAATTAAACAAATTAATATCTCAGAAAATAAACAAACTCCAAGTATTCTAAGCACAAAAGTCACTAGTTCTCTTAGACTTGAAACAATGACAATCCAACAGCTTTAAAAAAAAAAAAACCCAAAACACACATGCACAGCATAAATTCATTCAGACAACCAGGGTTACAGGAGAGTTCCTTTTCTTTCTCTCGGGTTGTATCTCATGTGACATTTAAGCACTAAATTTAGTTATTCTAGATCAAAGATTCATGTTTTGTTAAGTTCACAACTATCATGTGAAAAGATTACAGCAAAATGTTCTATACACACTATTACAAGTTCTGAATACCAAACCAGGCAAGACTTTTTTCTCCACAATGTAACACACAGATTTTAGGAAAACATTTTGGAGTGTTGGTGTAAAAAAAAGCCACTTTCCATTCAATTTGGAAACAGAAAATTATTCCTTTAACAGGCTAGGTCTTATTTTCAGGGTCTACAGAATTCTGCAATTGATTTTCCAGGTGTTTCCTGCCAGTATACTATGAAATAGAAACTGTCCAAAGCAGCCTGCAATAATACAAAAGTATTGCTCCTTGACAGGTGAAATACTGTATCTCACTTCCTTCATCCCCGGTTTTATTTTTATTCATCTAGCAACAGAAGACAATAGACACGTAAATCAAAAATACCTAAAATTATTCCAACACTGAATTCAAATGATGCATTTTGAAAGAATCTTCGTATACATTCTTGCTGGTCTAATGCATCACTCTTATGAGTAATAAAGCAGGGACACCATCTGGATCTTAACAAGTACCTTCTTGTTCTAATGAATTTTAAACTAAGGAAAAAATAAGGCCAAAGGGAGGTGGAAAATCAATCAAAATGCTACACTGTTCCTAAAAGATGAGGTACATGTGTGCACTACCTTAAAGCAGAACTTGCCTTCAAGTTGCCATGATAATTTTAGAGCAATACTACAAGACACCTTTTACTTGAAATGCCCAAGATGACTATAGCTCTGAAGAACTAACTCAATAATCATAGAACGGTTTGGGTTGGAAGGGAACTTAAAGATCACCCAGTTCCAACCCCCCTGCCACAGGCAGGGACACCTTCCACCAGACCAGGTTGCTCAAAGCCTCATGGCCCTACAAGCAGATACAGAAATACATAAAATTATTCATTTCATCAAGTACTCCCTCCTATGTGTATGGACCCAAAGCTAATTAGCAAGCTTGCTAAAAATTACATTAGTATATAAACCAGTGATCCTTTTAAGTTATTGTTTTAAAATTACATAAACGCAAAATGACATTGTAGTCTTTTCTGTAAAAGATCTGAAACTCAACAGCCACTGTCCTTTAGACTAAACTGTAGTTTGGCTTTATGTGTCTGATGTATTTATAAAAATCTTCCAAAAAAGTGTTTTAATGATCACTTTATGATAGATCATTTAATGTTTATCTAATATTTGGAATGTAGATTTCTGATTGTAATTAACAATGTATGTGAATGTGTATTCACAACATGCTAATATTTCTTGCACAATTCTCATGTGTAACGGGTATTAAAGGTCACATCAGAAGGAAAAGTGAGTGGTGAGTTTACTACCTAATACATTTGGGATTACTGATTGCAATTTATTTTCTCATTAATAGTAGAGCAGTAGTCAGGAGGGGTTGGAATGAGCAAACAGTTCTCATATAAAAAGCCTTTGCGCTAATAAAAATGTATCAGTTCACGGTTGTCGTTAAAACATTTTTTTGCACCATTCCAATTGTTACACTTTGATTACAGGAAAGATGATTTATTTTCTAAAGGTGTTATTTATAGCTAAAGAGGAAATTCTGGAATGTTTCATTAACAAGCTAACTCAGCTCCAGGAAGTGTAAGAAAGGCAAAACAATTTGTAAGCATCTCTGAATGGACTGGATGCTCTTATAACTACAGGGAAACCGTTAGAAGTCTGGTTAGAAATCACAATAATTCTGCTTCATTCATCTAGCAAGAAAACTTGCCCAAACACTTAGAAATCCCTGTGGGGTTTTCTTTAAGTGCTTTTGTATTTTAAAAAACCAATCAGTGTGTAAATGAATTAGTTTTCAATTTGCTTTTGAGTAATTACAAATTCACTACTTAACCTTGATTCTTTATACATCTGTTTCAAAAGCAACAGAATCTTTTTTCCTCAAAGGAAGACAGAAACGCTAAAGAATCAACGCAAAATTATTTTAAGTAGCAAGAAGCAGATTATTTTACTGTGATCTGAATATTTTGCATTAGGTTAAACCACAAATCCCATTATCTGTACATTTCAGAAAGATCATTGCTGAATTATACTGCAAATCATTTACTTACCCTTATTTATTCAGTTCAACTCCAAATAGATTTAGTGCCCTGTTCAGCTGAACAGTGCTTCAGAAAAAAGGCCTAGGAAAGTCAGCTCTAACTGCTTAGGCCAACACTAGTCTCAGTATCCTTTCTTTGCTCAGTCAGACAACATAGTTCAGGAAAAATTCTGAAGGCTTGTTTCCAGCACTGCCTCACTGCCAGAGTGTGTAAACGCATTAAGATCTGCAAAGCTTCTGAAGTTCTTATGCTACAGCAAAGTGCCATAACCACGACACCACAGAACCCAGCACGACTGGGCACACTGAACTCCTGTTAATTCCCAACAAGAAAGAGTCATCAGTCAGAGAGAAAACACATGAAAAGAAGCCAGGCGTGTAACCTGTTTGGACATTTACTTTATTAGAAATAGCAGACGTGGATTCTGGTTTGGTCCTCTTCCTCTAGATTACATAAACTGCCTTAAAACTAGTGAGTTTTCACTGCTTGTAGGTTGTCGACCATTTGTAAGCAAGTATCTTACTGCCCTCTCCAGAAAGCGTACAGACAAAAACAACCATCCCAGTCTCCTTTTATCCTAGTTGCAGCCATTTCTTAGCAAAAAATTCATACATTCAAGGATGTGGTTGCACAGTTTTGATGGTGAAAAATGTATTCAGATTGTTACCCAACTGTATTTTAATATAGTCAAATAACGGGTGCTGGAAGGGGAGGTGGACATAAAATTCAGGCAACTTACCTCTGTTGCTGACAAACGTTTATCTCCATTATCACTACCAACACCTGAATCTGAGTCCTTTTTACTTGGGTAGATGTCATCGATGCTACATAAAAAAATAAATCAATAAAAAGTTATCATAGCATTTACCATTAGAATTCTGCCCTGGTTTCACTTAAATCAAAGCAAAATTCCAACCAGTCTTAATGGCAGAGGGTGAAATAGCCTAGTATGGTTACAAACTATAAATTTGCAGTCTGGTGATAGTAAAATAGAACAGATGGAATGGCTGGTTAGCCTAAGGATTTATGAAAACAACAGAAATAATCTGCTATAAAGCTTGCTTTTGTCTATACAGTAGGTAAAAATGCTTAGTTACTAGCTAAGTAGCACAGGAGTCTGACTAAAGTCATTTAGCCACGTGATAAGCAACTAAACTAGTTGAACTCAAACTGGAGTTAACTGATTTAATTGCAACCATTGATGCATTAAAAATTAACTGATATCTCCCTGCGGCTTGAAGTACTTATTAACACAGAAACCTCCTTTTGGTGCTTTAAAATAGACTTTGAAATTTAGGGTTTCAAGAAAATTACTATAAATTATTATAACTGGCAACTGCTCTCTCTTCTGGTTTCATCACCTAGTGTGACCTCTACTCATTTTAAAGCACACTATTAGGTGCAACACTCTCATCACCTAACTTTCTTTTAAAATATGCTTTATTATCCCCTCATTTGCAATCCTGAAAGCTGAAACACTGAATTCTAATTCACATAGCAATTTTAAAAAAGTTTATCAGTCTTCACATGAATAAGGTATCTGATTAAGACCAATCTTAAACTATCTTTTATCAGTAAACACTAAGGATTCTGTGTAGAAACTGCCTATGGAAATCCTGTCTGGGTTATGTTTTTTCTTTGTAAGGGTGAAGTTATCCTCCAAAATAAAAAATTCCTAATTATTATGTGATAGAGCATTAGCTGTTAGTTACCAACTGGTATCTACACAGCACTATCCCCTTACTCTAACCTATATACTCCTATATGACCAAAGCATCATACAGGACATGATATTCCTGACAATTTTCTTGTATACTAAAAGAACAGAACAGAAAACCAGTATGTGTTCCCAAATGGAAAATTTACTCTTCATCCTGGATTCTTTCCACCTTTGGAATTTATCTGATAGAAATTCAAAAAGGTGTCTCCAAACATACATGGAGGAAAACAGTTTGCTTGAGACCTTATCTAGATGAATGAAACAGAGATTCCGTAACAGTTCTTTTGTTTGTTTTGTTGTTGTTTTTTTTTTCCCCCAGGGTGTTTGTTAGCAGCAATCTCTCTGGTATTATTTACATCAACACTTGTTTTTTATTGAGTATTTCTCTCCAAAAATTCAGCATTATCATACTTTCTCTGATTGGTTATATTAACTTCCCATGTTAGCAAAGAGCAAGCTGACTAAAAGCTGCTTTCCAATTAGCTATGGAGATTCTTATAGAAAGGAGCTGCTTCGTATCTTGTTCTTGTCCTTAAAGTACAATACAAGATGACATTTCCTAGATGTTTGATGCAAGACATTAAAGATTTTGTCTTTCATTTTGCTAACAAATTAGCACATTTCACTTCAAAAGGGTCTCAACATTCATGCAGTTCTACTGGCTGGATGGATAAGCCTCAGGATGAACAAAAAAAGCTTAGCACAACTATGTGATGACTGTATAACAACATACAAATCACAAAACAACACAAGAAATTAAAACTTATTTAATGTGATAATAGATTTACAAGAAAGTTCCAACACCTAATGATACTACCACCTGAATAATTTCCAATATATTCCAGAAGTCTACTAGTAAGAGGTTAGATTTAAACTAAGGTTCACTTCTAAGGTCTTTCCTAATGTGCTGCTAACATTAATCAGAACCGATTGTCAAAAATAATTTTCTTATAAATTTTTATAGGGATTTCACTAGAATAAAATATATCAAAGAAAAACAAATCTCTGTTCAAAACAGTACACTCTAAACAGCATCTAAACAAGTGAAACTCTGGAAACTAAAGTTATAAATATATTTACTTCACTTTGTTTGTAAGTGTTACATGAAAAAACCAAGTGAGATTTTCATACACACCTCTCTTCCACGGGTTGTGGCAAATGCTGCTGTTCAATGGCATTAAGATACAGCGAGTCTGCTGTTTTAATCTGACAGGCCTGTACAGTCAGATATTTGAATATATGCACCTTACCCTTTGTACAAATCTGTTAGATAAGAAAAATAATTTAGGTTTATAACTAGAATGAAAGGAATAATTTATTCCAAATGTCATTTAGCATAAAACTTGCTGAAAACCAACTCATATTGTCAAAACAGATATTACAAAAAGGAAAAGGGATTATTTTTTTTTTAATTACTAATAACTACTTCAATAACCCAATCAATTATTTGTGTGTACTAGTATAAACACACCCAGAGAGTAAGACAGAAAACAAGAAAAGAATATATTTTACTTTTCACTCAAAAAGAGTTACAGTAAAACACATCATATGGCCTATTACTAACCGTAAACTGAATAATTATTTTCCAAAATTAGTCAATAATGACAGGTAATTAATCAGCATGTCCCTTATACTCTCAGTCACATTGTTTTTACTAGTGTCCGAGCATCTTTGATGCATTTCACCTGCACCTCATATTTTTTTTCTTTAACTGCAAACTTCTAGCTCAAGTTCTTGCTGAAACTTGCTCTGTACCTTTTGAGTTTAGGACCAGCATCACCACTCGTTATGAAAAGCATTTCTTCAACGTAATAAAAACTCCCAAGTATTTCAACAGCTAGTGATCTAGAACAATTTCAGCTTTCAGAGATGTAGTTTGAATCTACTGTCCAGTAAGTCAACAACAAGAAAGTTGTCCTTCAGCAGACAGCACAGGTTGCATTCATTTATCATCATCATTTCTCAGCATGGCCTACAGTTCAGAAGAGGACTTCTGATTTCTCTATGTATCACAATCTATAAATTTATACTCTAAATTAAATTAAGTTTACATGGGTTATGTTCTAGACCATCTGTATATTTTTTAAGCTAATAATAAATCACTGTAGAACCGTCTAGAACTGGGTTCTTAACAGAGAGAAAAATTATCCAGGAAGTTTCTCACGTTTCTTTTTCAAAATATATATTTATATAATATACATATTTTTATATATATATAAAACATATTCCAACATTGAGTTCCATATGCAGATAGGAATGACAAAAATAAATAGGCAGCTAACAGAATGGAAATCTAGATTCATGTTGGTTCAGGCGGTGCACAGACTCATACACAGAACATAGGATATTTTCCATGTCTTATTTATATATCAACAGCTAATGTCTGTGATGACTGAAGTTCAGAAGACTGCAACTGCAGAAAGGGACATTTTATAGGCTATAATATTGTCCACCCAATATTAAGGCACAACTAGTGATGTTACTTACTTGTGCTGGTGGTGACTGTAAAGGATTATTCTCAAGCAGTAATACTTGTAACTGCACCATCTTTCTAAAACAAATTGGAATCACAAGCACTTTATTGCAGGAAAAGTCGAACTTTACCAAGGGAAGCTGTACTAGTTCTAAAAGTAACAAAAAAGAGAGAAGGTGTTATATCTGTATTTATTTTTGCCATAAAACAATAAAATATTTCTAGACAAAACTTCTTTCACATTCAGGAAAAATACAAACCTAGGCAGGAATATGATCAACATTTACTCCATTCTATACTGGGAAACGAAGAGAGTATTATTGTTATACAAGTGACAGCAGATTTTAAAATAAATACTTTTTTTTTTTTCCTGAAACTCAGCTGATAGTTCCCATACTGCATTCACAGATAAGTACTTGTGCAGCTTAAAAGATGTCTAGAATCATAAAAATAATTCATTAAAAAAACCTCACACACTGTTACTTAATGAATGTTATATTCTGCAAACTCAAAAGGAATAGATTTGAACACAAAGTAATCACTACTTTTTAATCATATTTACTTACGTGATTAAAAAAAATACTTTCAAAATGCTAATAAAAAGACCTACTGTAACGGCATTAGGATTTTTTGGTTTTCTGTTTTTACCTTGGGGTAAAACTTCGAGGTAATTTCTTCTGACGTTCAGTTCTTTTAAAGATCTCAGCTGGCCTATCTGCTGTGGCAAAGCTGTGATTTCATTACAGCTGACATCCTACAGCAAAACAGTAATAATAGAAAAAATGAACATTTGGCTCCTAAATGTTAAATAATACAGATGTGAAATTGTAGCTAATTTGCTATTACCCTTGTAACATTTTATTAACCTGAAAACATGGAAACTTCTATGCCCTGTCTTCACAAAGCAAAACTAAATATGTGAGAAAATACTTGCACATCACTTAAAACCCAGAGCAAATTCTTATTTGGAGAACAAGTTAATTTTGGAAGTTAATTTAATTTCTATAGAAACGTTTAAAGCCATTTGCTTAAGATGTTTTACATTTTTGTTTTTAACTTTTATCCATATAAAGAACTCGGTATGATTATTATGTAACCAAATATGTTTGGATGAAATTCAAAACTGCCAGTGTGTGGATATGACTATTTTTAAAGTTCCTGCTCTTCTGGAGGGAACATTTAAGGAAAATTAAAAATAAATAAAAATAATAAAAAAAGAGAGAGAAAACAGCAATAGCATTCTGTAATGATACTCAGGAAAAGCACATGTTTATCACATCACATAGTAGGCCATAATAAACCATGACAGGTCTTGTTGAGTACTACATAGATATTCAACATATTATTGTAAAAGGTACTTCTTAACTGTCTGGACAGGTTCTAAGTAGGTCTGATTATGATAATTTAATAATCCAGATGAAATTGGAACCCATCCTCATTTCAGCATTCCTACAGGAGTAACTGCTGTGAAGCTGAATTGAAAGTATAGGGTCTAGCTACACTAAGCATAATTTCAAGCAACAAGTTCATATGCAGTATTACTGCTGTAACAAATATTATACTTTTAACACTACTGCTAACAAGAAACTGCTATGAATGCATGCTAAAGACCAAGTTCTTGGATTAAGTCAGTCTTAAAACAAGATAGTTTTCCAATACCAGCTATCATTGCTGCCAAATGGTGTATACTAAATGTGAAATCAAAAGGACACAGACCTCTGCTTGCATCCTAGGCAACCTGTAAATTTGAGTAATGTGCCAATTATGCATACATTTCTGCATTAAAAAAAGGAAACAGTATTTCATAGTATGAGAGCTAAGTGGTGCAAGGCCAATTTTCCTGACTAGCCAATGGAATACTTTTACAATGTTCACTCCTACTCTCTTGATTGTTTCAAATGGATTTATACAATATTGGGAGCTCTTACAACTACAACATTTCTAGAAGTCAGTCGGATTTCCAAGTCACCTCTTTCGCTTGCAAGACAGTTGCTTGCAAGATAGTTGTTTGAATACTAGTCAAAAGCATTACACTAACTCTCTATCTACAAGCCTAAAAACTAGTTAACGAAAAATTATACTAAAAGCAAAATGTGATCTGGCAATGCTGCTTGCTGTATCAGAAAAGCTTCTTCTTGTAACAGAATCTCACTGCTGCCAAAGTTTCCTTCCCTTGTCAAAACAGTCAGGAAATTATTTTAGCTTTTAGACAAGGAAATTAAAAATTCCAGTTAATGAGTGCATCTTTTGCCCAAGTTGCCACAAAGTATGGTTAATTGCACTGTTCCCAGATCATTTATTTTTAAAGCTTTACTGTCCTATTTTTAATTTACAGGCTTTAAACGACTTCATAATTAGATACTCAATTTTTAGAGCACAGAATTTTAATTTAAAGTCACCTTGTGGCAGAGAAACTCTAGACCAAGTGCACTTACGTACACGCATCAGAACCAGTCAGGGAAAGACACACAGGATTTTAAAGGAAGTCCAAAAAAAGCCCAAAACCAAAACAAAAAAGCCTGGCAGTGTAGCCTCAAAAACAAAGTCCACTTACAACTGTTCAAAACATCCTCAATAAGACTGATCTGTTATGACAGCATGACAACATTCACAAGATCTCTAGGGACAGTAGTATCCTTTATCCTACTAAACACTGCAGTCCAACTTTTTCTTTTTATTATTACTTTGTTTGAATAGCCGTGGAAAACAAAGACCTACAACATTATTTCTAGTTATGCTCTTGACTATTATTAAATTTCATGAGTGTGTAGGTGACAGAGACTTTGGAAGCAATACTACCAAAGTCAAACACCTATGATTTTCAAGTTAATTTTTTTACAAAACTACACAACCAGCAGTTTGGAATTTTCCCTTCATGGACATCTGCAGCCAACTGAAGTGCAAACACCTACTCAAGTTCCATGGGGCTAGTGTTTGCTGAAGGTCAGAATTCTTGCATTAATTCTATTTTGTTCTCATGAGTTATGCCATGTCCTGCCATCACAACAGAATTTCTCAAGATTAGAGAAATGTAAGGCATAATTAAATTAAAAATTAATTTCTGTGGCATGAAGATCAATGGTGTGAGAAAAAATATCATGGACATTTTTCTTTTGATTATGGTAAAGTTTAAATGGTCTTAAACCAATAAAATTCAGCAAATATAACCAGAAAACCAAATATATTTGGCTCCATATTCACGTATTTATTGACACACACACAGGAGCTGATTCAAACCATCCAAATTGAGGAAAACTTCCTCCTTACATTCATTTTAAAACTTGGGACTCCTCACCGAGCTGTTTTTCCTAAAAAGCATGGGCATTCTATCAGAGCTTGTGACACACAAGCCATACAAAACGGTAAAAAGAAGTTACATAGCGCATGAGCACATGGATCCTTCTAGGCGACAGAAGGCAGCAGCTCCCACCACTTTGTCAAGCTGCTGGCCCAGATTAGATGAAAGAGGTGAAAGACCTAAATCCCAGCTGAGAGATTTAAGGGCTTCCAACATCACACAGGAGCACCCCAGAGATGGAGAAGGCTGTTAAATGAAGGCGGCAGAAGTGCAATACTGCCTGATAGGACACAATAGAATTTCACTGTACATCTGACAGTTTTGGCTACAATTACTGAGCCACCTCTGCCCAGTTACTTCTCTTTGACAGAAAGTAAGTTTCAGATGCTCTTCAAACCAGTTTTGCACTCATCTTCCTGGCTGACAGTAGAGGTCTGATTGAATTACACAGCTGCAAATAAAAGTAAGTTTCGCAACCAAATTTTGAAAATAATTGTAATATATCCCACAGGCAGAATAATTTATTTTATATCTTATCTTCATGCCTGTAAGATAGCTGTCAGATCTATATAACCCAGAACCCTAAAATTCAAGAGTACCTGAAAATTTACTGCAAGTAATATCTAAGTCATTCTACGCCACAGGTATGAAATGTATATAAATATATACATGTAACAGAAAAAGAACTGCCTACCCCATTTTGGAGGATGGAGGGGAAAAAAGCAGAGATAGTTGGAAGGATCTGACCTCATTTGCAGCAAACTACATTTACATCATTGTAGAGTGACTACAGAGGCAAAATTTGCTTCAAAAAGTTAGATTAAAAAAAAAAATCCATTTGCTATGTACATACAGATTTTACTGCATGCAGCTTGTGAAACACCTTGGGAACCTGAGGGTGCTTGGTAAAGTCCTAGTAATACAAGAACTGCAAGCAGCCAGGTGGCATCTGTCACCTCTCAGGATCAATCCTGTGGGCCAGCTAAGCACCAGCACTGCCTATGTGCCAAAACAACAGCATGCCCTGCCAGAGGGCTGGGTGACAGTGTTGCTTGGAGGCCACATGCTATTAAGGCTGGCATTGCTCTCACACAGCTGAATACTTTGTGCAACAACTGCAGTAAGACTTAATCTTTCTTTTCGCTTTTTACTCTTTTTAGAACAATGACCACCTTATTATCTAAACTGCATTATATTATATATGCCAATACAGATCCTGGCTGTCAATCCTACCACCTTTTGCTTCTCCCAGTACATCACAGTTTAGTCATTTCCAGCTAAATAATGCAACTCCTTTCCCTGGAAACGTACCAAACACTCGTGGTGGCATCAAGCTAAGTAATCGGGTCATCTGAACACAACCATGCCCAACTTAACAAAAACTTGTTATTCGCTTCCCCCCTACCCCTTCTAAACACAATGAACTAACATCAGACTTTCTTCAGCTTTCATAATTCTTCCAGGCTACCAAAGTAACATGCTGCCATAGCCTCTCATTTGAAATATTTTTAGAGCAGGAATTGTTGTGTCCTTCATGACAAAGAGTAACACTGAAACGGTACTGTAACTGGAAAGTAGTATGAAAATCCAGTATTCCAGAAGTTAAACCCATGATGTGCTTAAACAAACCAAACAATCCCCCATCTCCTTTAACTATAATCTCCATTGATTTTCAAGCTTTTAGTTTTTAACTTTTCAAAATTCTAAAATAAGGATAAGGGCTTCTATTAAGCTACATACAACCTGTTACAAATGAAACACTTCCAGTGTCAGCAATGCTAGTTCACCTTACTGGAAGGGTTGAAATTTGAAATTGGAGCGGAAATTAGATACGAAAGCACCTCAGTAGCTCTTTGCTGAAAATATTATCACAGACCTCAGCTAATAGAATAAAACGAGTGATTTTGACCAGACAGAATCAGGCCAAGTCTTTCAATTATTTCACGTGAGCTCCTCAACAGTAAGCTAGGCTCATTTAAACTAGAAGCAATCAAGAGCTAAGAGGTTCCAATCGTTGTTTATTATCTATTCTGTCATCCCATCCTCTAAATTAGGATGTGTTTAATACTGTTCAACTTTAATTATATATAAAACTTGGAACCATGAAAACAGAACCAAAACAGAAACAATGCTATAGCCTAACACATTTTTGAAGGTTTAATTAAATCAAAACAATTTCAGTAATCTAATTAAACCCATAATAATGCTCACCAAACACAACAAAACAAACTTGGTAGTCTTTAGCTCAGGGAAGAACTCATTAGCCCAGAACTCATCAGACGGATCAGCTGTAACAAATAATGGAAGCCTGATACCACAGGACACTGCACAAAAAGAATACTAGAAGGAAAAAAGCCTCACAGTTGTCACTTCACTCCACATAGGAAGAACGTACTGGGTTAGGACTGGGGCCTAAAGCAAGGTCAGCTCAATTTCTGTAACTTAATTTAGAAAGAGAAACTACTGTTATAAAAATAATAATGTGATAAGCAGGCACTTTGAGATACCCAAAAGATGAGCAAGATAAATGCTTGTTAATGGAGGTATCAGCACATGGAAGAAAGTTCAAATAACATTGTTTTACTATGCATAAATTAGCAGTGTTAAAATGTTGTTTATTCGTCAATTTGTATCTTAAGAGGTCAAGGTGAACAGAAATAACCAGAAGATATAATGCATCTGCCATAGAAAATTCAGAGTCTCAGCCTACAATATACAAAAGAGGAAGATAAAAGAGAAGAAAGGGAAGTGTTCTCTTGTATACATTTTCCACATACATTTCAAAAAACATGTGCAATTAAATGAATTTTAAGTTAAGGCACCAAATAATTTTTGCCTTTTCAGACTGTCATTTACTAGACAACCTATCATAGATGATCTATTGCTTGCAGAAACCATAGCCGTGTGGACAGCTTTGAAAATAAGAGGAATATAATATTTTTGTAGATTTGTTTAGATGAGTTTTCCAGGAAAGGAAGCTTGCATGACAAAAATAGCAAAATAAAATTAAAATAGACTGATAAGACCAGCATTGCCAGTGGAATACAATGTGGTAAGCAGACAGTAAGTAATAACAGAGAGGAAAGGAAGCAGAAGGGGAGGCTGCTACAGAGGGGGACATGGGTTTGCAAAGCCTAATGCCAGAACTATGAACTTGATACAGCAAAATAAGCGGTGAGTCAAACTGGTAATGATGATGAACTTAGAAATTGAGTTTTGAATGAACGAAGAGCACTGATGTTGTTTAGAAGGATTCTGAAGGGCATAAAGGAAACTATTGTGTTACTACCCAACACACTTGAGACTTGAGAAGTTAAAAATTCTTTAACCTGCAGTATAGTATTAGGCATTTATTCAAATATATTTGCAAACTGAATTCGCTGTTTCTAATTAAATAAACCAAAGCCAAAATAAAAAATAAAAACAGATCAGTAACATACCAGTTCCATTAACTGTTTTAGCTGACCTATCTCTTCTGGAAGGGAACCTAGCTTATTGTTACTTGCGATCAAGACTTTTAGAGGAAGACCACACAGGCAAGCTGGCAAAGAAGAAAGCTGATTTCGACTGTAACAAAACAAAAAAACCCAACTGTTAAAACCACCAGAAACATTCTACTGTATACTCACATAAAGTCTGAGAGTTGTAAAATTCCTTCATTTTCATGGGTCAGATTTTATGCAGACAAAATTTAAATTTTCAACTGACAATCATTAAGAAAACACTGGCACATCAAAACTATGATCACTACTGACTAAACAGTATTGTGGAATTCACCACTCTGGAAAAAAATGCATTGTATCAGTTTAATGACATTGCAACAAGTCTGGCTGTCACCTAGAACAGCTGTTTCCCTTCCTAGTGAATACAGGAAAGTCAACTGAGAGAGTTTTTTACAAGTACTTAGACATTCCTATAGTTTTATGCAGCAGTATAGTGGATGTCTTTTGTTCCAACCAAAAGACAAACAAAATTACAGATAAAATAGTTATTTTCTCAATTCCTCCAAAGCACACTTACAGTTGAAGATTACTTGGTACTTATTGTTCTATGATTCTATGATATTAACCCAGGTAATACAGTGAAAAATTCTGGTACCATCAATGGTTCATTTCTTTCCAAGACTCACATTAAGTCTTTTTGTCTCTTACTTATTCCTAAAATTGACAGAACATTTTTTTAAGTAACTGGCATGCCATTTTATTTTTCATACCACATTTGGCGGGGGGGGTGGGGGTGCGAGCAGAAAATTTTCATTAAAAGGAGTTGTAAGAAAGGTAGACTTTGTTAGAAAACTTCCAAGAGATTTAGGTTCTCATTCTAGTAACAATTATTCAAGAAGCTAGAACTTAAAGATGACAAATGTCATGAATCTTTGTGATCTCCAGATGATTGAAAATACTAATTTCTTGTGATTCATGGATTAATTTCCAGAAGAAACTTTAAGCTCAACAGTATTAACATATTAACTGCTCTTTCCTAGAGTATTTGAAGGTTTTCTTAAAAAATAACTGTCCTTCCATCTTTTTAACTACAAAAAGTATGTTGAATTTCACAAAATTTATCATCAGAAGAGAATTAAAAGAGTCCAATTGTGATGATGTGATTACCATTCTGAATTTGCTAGAACAATAACAGAAAGAAAGGGATTAATATTACTTGGCCTTTCTTTAAATAATTAGTTTTACATTCTGGCTTTTATAATGCCTTCATACAGAGCTGTATATACACCCAATGAGGTTTTGCATTAATGCTTCCAACAAAATGAAACACGTAGTCAGTTGTTCCAGAAACACACAAAGTGCAGACAAAAAAAAAGCTTTAAACATTTGCAAATAAAAAATGTGGCAAAGTTAAACTTACCTCAAATTTAAGTAAGTTAGCATTTGCAAGTTTACTATGGCATCTGGTATAATTTTAATACAATTGTGGTACAGATTTAGTGTTTCAAGTGACACAAAATGGCACAGCTCTGTAGGAACTTCAGTTAATCTGTTCTTGGATAAATCTGCAAAGAGAAAAAGAGAAGGTACATTTTTTGAACCATCAGAAAGATACACTTTGAAAAGCTCCCCTTTATTAAAATAAACAAGTAAGTGTAATCCTACAGTGAGACAGCAAATTAAGCCAATGGTTTTATTATGAAAAATAAAACTAGGGCTAACCTTACAATCTTGAAATGGAACAGACAGCATATAAAAGAGCAAACATTCAATTAAAATTTATTTGGTCTTACAAAAAGTAATTATTTGCAGGACTCAATATGCTGAGGAAATACTTGTGAACACAACCAAGTCTAGATTCCAAACCTCATATAATACACCCAAAGATCTAGCTGATACGCAGCTAGACATCTGCAAATAGTGTTAAGTGTCTAAAGAAAACAAGCAACAATGATTATATTTTTAATTTCTTTAAATAAAAAAAAAGTTCTTCTGGTAACTCTTCAAACTGACCTGTATTTCCTAGATCTCAATCAATTATAAAAGAATGTTACCTATAAAAATGATGAAGACCTTCAGGAATGGATTTGATATAGTACATACAAGACAACAATGATGGATTCCAATCCCTCAAGTGAGTGCTTGGACCCACAGAAGAAAAGCTTTTGAGTTTTGACCAGTTATTAATTCTTTATTTGTCATTTTAAGCACACAGACACCAAGGAAGATAAGCAGGAAGAAATGTTACTGAGCTTTATCCCTTAACTACCAGTACGAAAAGTAGGAAAAATAAGGTATCATAATACTGATGTGAGCTCAAGCCATAAAATAATAATGCATGCCAGCATTCAAATCAGGTTCAAAGAAACGTTTAAACAGCATTGCAGAATCAACACCTCATCACCAGAAACTGCACAAATGCCACCTCCCCATACCACCAGACAGATAACCTGACCTGAGGAATGGTCACCTGTGTTATGTGGAATGAACAGGACTGTACCTAGGCAAAAAGTGAAATGTCTGATGGGAAGGATACAAGGAAAAAACGGAACTTAACCATCTCCTTACCTCTTTACTGCTGCTATTTTAAGCTTCTCCCTGATCCTTCAAAGCTTATTTCAAGGCTTACTTTCTTAAACTACATAAAGGGAAAAGCAGCCAAAGCATGGCACATGCATTTCCAGAGCACCAATGATCTGACTCCTCCCTTTAGGGCCATAAAGCAATGCCTCGCTTTTGTGAACAAACAGGCAAAAGCCTAAAGATCTTTTTAACTTCCTTTGCATTTCCAGACTCGTCAGTTTGCTGCGCAGGGGCACAGCCTGAGTTCAAAACTATCAGCAGTAAGAAGTTTTTATAATTTTTATTTTTGTTCCTGTCTCCTGCAATGCGAGCTGAAATTCAGTGCATTCTATTCCCCTTATCAGCTTCCACCTTCCTTCACCTCATTGCTTCCAAGAAGAAATTGGTTTCATTATTCCATCCCCTACCAAGAGAGCAGCAATGGCCTAGGAGTGCAGGAACTGAGAGCAGCCCTGCCGACCCAAATGGCAGTATGGGTTGAATTGAGCACCCCAACCAAAATTATTCACTTTTAAGTCACTACACAACAGCAATGCTTGAACTGCTGTTTTCTTTTACCAGGCTTCGATGGCAGCATTACCTCAGCTTCTTCCTTCCTTCACTTCTGCCATCAAACCAAAGCATTCCCTATTTGAGTGAATGCTATTACCATTTCGAAAGGGGAGAAAGCTCTTCAATGTTCCTCTGTTTTAGTGCTTTAATCTTCTACTGTTTTCTATTCATCATGAAAGCACTTGTTTACTAACAGCATTTCAAAAAAGCTACCACTGGTTTGCCCTCCTGTCGCCTTCCTCGCTATGTGTTACCAGCTATTATGAGAGGACTGCCATGCTATACCTTTTTGAATCATGCAGGGGATCTTCATATTTTGCAATTTGATTGTAAAGAAAACCTTCTCTTTCTTTTAAACCACGCTGTTCTGTGGTGACACTGCCAGATGCATACTGCTCTTGGTTCCTCCCTTAAAGGGGAAGGAGCAGCAAGATCCAGAAGAGTGAACTGAACTTTGGGCCTAGGCTGGAGACAACCTGCCTGGCGTTAAGTCATACATGGAGACTGACATCTCATCCTTCCTTTGATCCTTCTCAAGTGATAAACAAATCAAAAACTGGGAACACAAAAATGCTACTTCTTCTCAAGCTACTAAAATTCCAGCCTGACAACTTAAATCCATCTTCATGCCTGTTCTCATTTACCTTCACATCGAATAAAAGAGACTGTTGCCACATTTGACTTACACTTGAAAAACTCTCGTACCTCAAAAAAGTGGAACAATAACTAGATTGGCCCTGCTCATACAACAGACATTACTATGACATTTAAATGCTTTTAAAATTTTATTACTGTCCTTTGTTCTCAAGGGCTTTAACTCTGTTAAACTGAAGAAGGACCAAACAAAAAACCCACTAATGATGACAGACAAATTCCTTCCTGTCATCCTCAGGACTGTGGGTCATAGGACCCGCTAAGTACACAACAAAGGAATTCAAGAATTAACTTACAGCAAAGGAAGTCAGTTATTTGTTTTTGCCTAGTTATTACATTTTAAGATCATTTCAACACTTGTATCTATTGTTGCTTCCAAAATAATAATTTTTAAAAAAAAAAAAAATCTATTCACAGCATAAGGCAGAGAAATAAAAATGATACATTTTCTTTAATCCCATTGTAACAACTTAATAGAGAAAGCAGAAATTTGCCACTATAATTTACTGATAAGAGGCCTCATTAATATAAAATCTGAATATCTTTGAGAAACAGAGTACTGGAAAGCAATCTGACATACAGAATGCTCATCACACTTTTTTCCACTAGTGGCAATAATTTCTGCGAAAAAACAGACTTCCCTGGAATGGGGAGCAAATGGAAGCAAAAGGAGAAAAGAGACTGTCTTCTGTCAATCCTAGAATGAATGTGAGCCTCTGAACATGATGTAGTTGTGAAGGAAGCCCAGCAGCTTTCAGATGTCTCTGAAAATTCCATACAGAAAAGTGAATTTCTTCAGAAATGAAAACAGTCACCTTCATTTTATACTGTACCTTAAAAGCATACATAAACCTCTGAAGTTTACATAATTATTATGACATTACTTTATAGGAGTGGTACTTTTGCCTCAAATCACTAAATCTCACAATTAGTCTGTATGTATTTCGAGTTTACTCTGATACTAAGTTCTAAAGTAAAATACAAGGGTTAAGCCTTAATGAAACTGCAGAACCTTTTGAACATACTGAGAAAAACAACACGCATGTATCTTGTTTCTGTCTCTTGTTTCTGTCAATTCACAAACTTTTTGACAAATACTTTGCAAAGGCTTTCTTGGGTTCATTATTTAGGGAAAAAGAATAAAACAGAAACTAACATTTTAAACAACTTCTGCAAATATTCTTAAAATACAGAAATAATTACTTGACAAACCTTTACTTTCCTACTGTAATTTTTTTAACTCTCTACACTTCCCAAATCACTAAGTTACACATCCTCCTTTCTTCATTAGTTTGAAGAACAGCACTTCAGGGTAATTAATAACAACAAAGTTACTGTACAGACTAGCTTTTGCTACAGAAATGGAAATTAACAGAGGGATGGAATTTGCTGGTGTTTAAAGGAATTTTGATTAATTTGCTTATACTGTAACACAAAGTAGATGTAACAAATTAATGAATCTATGATGGCAGAAGTGTATTTCATGGTTGCCAAGAGAGTATAGGTAGGTTTCACCTTAGATGATGATTTCCTGTCATTTCAATTATGAAATAGGTGATACAAATATCAACAAATATGGAGCCATGTGCTGGAGTGAGCTTTTTGTTTTAAATGAAATATACTAGTCATTCATTATTTGTGACATTCAAATTACATCTGGCTTCACTTCATCTTTTCCTGCCAAGAACAAGTTTGTTAAAAGTCCAAAATAAAGTAACAGAACACAAAAAAATAATCAAGCCAGCTCAGAAAAATACTAGATGGAATCTTGATCTTTAAGAAAGTCAGCACAATTCTGGTTCTATGACACGGCTTTTGTATGAGAAATGTTACTATGTTGGAAGTTAGACAGGAACTACACAAAACAAGCACTTCCTTAGCTGGGAGCGAACAATAAACAGCAAAAACTTCAGACTGGTAAATAAGCATTTAACAGGAGACTCCAAGCTTTGGTTGGTGACTGGTGTGCTGCACAGTCAGGGCCCATGCTGCTGTCACACTAGTGGCAACTGACCCCATCCTCAGGGTACAACCTTTTGGTTCCTATAGCTCTGAACACGTCTACCACCATGACGTACCACCGCTGACTAGGCCCTTTCTGGCTTCATGCTTTACAGGCAGATTATCAACTGCCACTATGCGTGTATATATATAGTATAAAACACTGCCACTGCAGAAATCAAAATGGCATTGTCAAAATAACCAGAATAATGGTAGAAGTCATATAGTTATGTTTCTCCCAATAAAGTTACCAAAATGCTCCGATCGTCCTACCTTCCAGTTATTAATACATTATAAAACACTACAATACATTGTTAAATAAAAATTGCAGACAATTCACAGGAGAGCTAAACAATTTAAGCCTTTAAGTCAGAACAGTAACTCATTAAATATGTGTATGCACTACCACACCACAAATCTCAGGCAAGCATTTTAATGGAAGCTGTTTATTAAAAAGCAGTAAATTACAATTTGCAGATTATAGAAATATTCAGTATACAGTGATACTTCTAACACACAAACCTATAAGAGACAAAAGCTGGAACTGTGCAAGTAAGCATCCACTCACCATTGAGCAGGAAATTTTAATGTGTACACTTATAAAATCTTCTAACACACAAACCTATAAGAGACAAAAGTTGGAACTGTGCAAGTAAGCATCCACTTACCATTGAGCAGAAATTTTAATGTGTACACTTATAAAAGAAATGTCTGTATTTGACACAGAGTTCTGAAATCAAGAAGTTGCAAGGTAAAAAAGCCACCCAAACAACCT